TATGTGGCCGTGACTGGCCTCCTCTCCCCCTGCCCCGTCCCTTGGCCGAGGCAGCGAGCGGATGGGCCGAGCAAGTCGCGTGGTGGAAGCTTCGCACCCTCCTGGCGGGTCGGTAAAGCCTCGATCCTGCCCACGCCGACTAGAAGGAGGAGGGGGATGAGGAGGGGGAGGGGGAGGGGGAGGCAAAAAAAGCAAAGGCGCTTCGGGGATGAGTCAGAACAGCTACAGCGGCAGCGGCAGCAAGCTCTAGTAGTATCCCTGCGATGGACATGGATGCATGGGCCTGGGACCAATTTCTTGATCGCCTAGGCCTGCCTGAAGCGCACTCCCCAGGGACGTACTCGCGGGGGTGGGCCTCGCGCAGGGAGCCGGGTGCCTCCCTCGCTCAACAGCTGGGGGGCTAGGGCAGGGCTCATCGCGAGAGCCGCGCCCTGAGCCCCAGGGCAAGGGGTGGCGCACTCGGTGATTCGAGGGGGGAAACCACGCACACACACACACACACGCACGCTCAACCACCCACACCACGCACACACACACACAAGAAGGAGAGGCGAGGGGGGAGGGGGCGGCGCCAGCGGGGCGCGCCTGCGTAGCCCACGTAGCCCAGCGCGGCGGGGCGCCGCGCGCGCGGCTCCTCCTCCCCCTCCCCCCCCCTCCCCTCCCTCTCAGACAGGGCCAAACAATCGAAGAAACTCTACCTCCTCCTACTCAGGTCTGGGGCTGGCATGGGTGATAATTGGAGTGGGTGCTGTTGTTTCTGTCCGTTCCGTCTCTGTCCGTGCACAAAGGTCCCAGGATGTTGTTGGTGGCACTGTCCGTCGTGTATCTGAACCGTCGATTTTATATATATATATATATATCAGGTCCTCTGGCCCTGCGCGGGGTACTCTTCGTCTGCGCAGCATCAACTCCTGACGGATTTTATATATATATGTGTGTTTTCTCATTCTCTCTATCTCTTTTTATATATATATATATATATATAGATTTAAAAAAAAAACTCCCATCCATACTTTGAGAGCGGGTAGTTGCTGCCTCGACCTCCTGATCAGATCTCTCCCTCACCGTCCGAACCAATCGCAATCTCCTCTGCCTGCACCTTGCTCTCACTTCCCTGCCCCTTCTGGTAGTCCACCCATGGGCGCTTCTCCTTCCATCCGTAGAATACGCGCGTGTTCGGGTCGTCTTTGTTCCATGCTGGGATGCCCTCTGCTGGAGGCGTCCAGCCGTAGAACACCCACGTGCTCGGGTCTCCTGCGTCCCATGGGGGTGCCAGCGTGATCTTTGCAAGCTCCATGGCGCGCTGCGTGCGGATCGGCGTGACCTGGTCCTCCAAGTGGTTGGCCTCGTCCACCTGCATCTTCATCTACTCCTTGCTCGATGGGTATTTCGGTGGGGCCTCGCTGCGGAACTGTAGGCTGCCGTGCGCCTGGAGCGTGGCGGTCAACGCCTCCTCGATGCCCGTCAGCTGGTCCGTGAGCGTCTGCATGTTCCCCCCGATCATGATGGCCTCCAAGGTGTTCTTCGTGTTTAGCATCTGCGACCTGAGCAAGATGCTGTTGAGCTTTCTCTTCTGCGCCGTCAGGTAGTCGATCTGCGTCTCGTACTTGTTTTGACGTCTTGCATCATTCGCTGGCACTGTTTGATGTTCTTCTCTTGAAGTTTCAGCGCGTAATTGAAGTCGCCGATCTCTGGGTCCGGATCTTCGGGCCCAGGGGCCCGCTGGCCCGGCGCAACCCTCGGTCGAACCGAAGCCTGCTGATGGATCTACGCGGGAGAAGGGGGGGCTGGTCGTCGCCAACACTTTCTTTGACCATTCCGCGGGGGGCCAGATCGCGCGCCGCAGCGTGGGGTCCCAACCTGGAGACCCAGACGCGCCGCAATATTGCGGTAAGATCGATTTCCCTCTGTGCGACGCGGAGTGGCAGACGTTGAGCTGGCGGGGCTACGCGCATGCATCGCATCGCTTCCCGTTGCTATGCCGCGCGCGCACGGGGGCTCCGAAATCAGAGCGCGAGAGGGGCTCGAGACCAGACCTGCTAACACCGGCAGGCGCCGCGGCCCGAACTTTGTCTGCTGTCGCCTCGCGACAGCGTGCCCACGTCGTGCCGGCGCCAGCCCCTGGGCCGCTGGAGTGATGCCGCGGTCGATGATTTCGCTGCTGCTGCAGACGGGGCTCAGCGAAGGGGGAACGTTTCCACGGGAGGATCAAGGCATCCATCAAGAATGACAAGGGGCGCTGGCTCACGGACTCTTGGATAACGGCAACTGGGGCCAGGCGCGCAAGCTCCAGAACCCCCGCGGCGCCACTCCAGGGCGATTGCGGGACCTGCGCGGCCGGGAAGTTGATGGCGACGAGCGGGCCCGAACGCTGGCCGTGTGCGTCGCCGCCGCGCAGTGGGCCGAGCGGCCAGTCATTGCCGTGAGCGATCCAGAACAGTTGGGGCCCGAGCAACCTGCGCGGAAATGCGCGCGGCAGCGCGTGCGCTGAAACGGGATCGAGCTGCCGGAAGTGACGGCGTCCCAGCTGAGTTTTGGAAGGCAGTCTGCAGCTCAGACGCGCCAGTATGCGGGTGGGCCATTCTGCTCTGCGATCGGTGTTGGACGGAGGCGCATGTGCCCGACGCCTGTCGCGATGCGATGGTCACGTCCATCTTCAAAAAAGGCGACGTCGCCGAGTGCGAGAACTACATTCCGATATCCCTTTTTCCCATCGGGCACATGCCCTACGCCGTGATACTGCTTGCGCACTTGACGGGCGCGGGCGCCGAGGACTGGATTTGGGGCGCGCAGTTTGGATTCCGATCCGGTAGTGGAGCGGCCGACGCACTGTTTGTAGCGCGGCGGCTGATCGAGGACACCGTGGACACGGCGTCTTGGAAATTGCTTCTTCTCGCTCTCGACTGGGCTAAAACATTCGACAACGTGTCGCCAAATAGCCTCCTGCAGGCGTTGATCCGCTTCGGCATCCCTGAACACTTCGCCGCCGCTGTGACGGGAATATACAACCACAGGAGCTCCCGCGTCCGAGATCTGACTCAGCCTCCGAATCTTGGCCTCAAGCGTTCGGCATATCGCAGGGATGCCCATGCTCACTGTTCTCGATCGTGATGACGGGCCTCATGCAAGACGCGAAGCGGAATTTTGCTGGTCGCGGGCTGTTGCATGTTGCAACCCAACTCAATTCTGGTTAGCGATCTCATGTACGCCGACTGCACCCCTATCGTCGGGGCAGACGAAGAGTACGTCTAACAGCTGATGGAATGCGTGCGCGAGGCCGGGAGGAACTATGGAATGGGGCTCAATTGGGGCAAGCTCGAGGTTGTGTCCGTGGGATGCGAGACACATCTGGCCCGACCAGACGGGTCAACAATCCCGCAGAGGGACAATATGATCTACTTGGGTGGGCTACTGAACGCCGACGGCGGCAACGGACCTGAGCTGAGCAGAAGGGTCGGCATAACATACAAACAGTCCTATAGTTTGTGCAACATTGGAAGCATGCGAAAGCTTAAATTTTCAATACGGTCTTGGTTTCCAATCTTGCGTTGTGTCTGACCCGATGTATTGCCTGCACACTCTCTGGCTCAACAAGCTAAAACTTCCGTAAGCCAGATGCTTTCCAAACGCGCTGCCTCCACAAAATGGCCGCCATAACGTACTGGTGTGAGCCGTGTTTCGAATGATCCCGTCTTGGCCCATTGCAGCTGTCAGAAAGTAAGTAACCAGTTAGCATACCAGCAGCTAGTGCTGGTGGGGGAGGCGGACCAACAGCCAGACGACAGCGCCGTCTGACGCTGCATTTTCGCCCCTGGGTCGTTCTGCCGGGGCGGTCGCCGGAAACACGGCCGGCCGAAGAACACGTGGACACCCAACGTGTTTACCACGGCTTGCAGGCAGCCAGCGATGCTGACAGATTGCATCAATAATGGCAGGGTGACGCCAATGCTTAGCGCCATGCAGTGCACAATTTCTGCACGCATATAGCAATGTGATTGCAGGTTTTGCATTGCTGCCAACTCACCTTTGACATGCATGGCGCTCTCTCTCTCTCACACTCTCTTGAACACTGATGTTTTTTGATAAACGAGTATGCGCGCATACAGTTTTTTTGCAGAGGATGAAGGGGGGCATTGCCCGTATGGCTGGGATGCGACGAATTCATGTTGACGATGGGCGATGGGGCAGAATCGTATGTTTTTTTTGAGGGGGGAGGGGGTGTACATTATACAATTTTGCTGAAAAGCGAGAACCTGTGGACAGATCTATAGTTGCAATCGATGTGGAGCAATCTATATTTTGCAACGTATGTGGTGCAATTTATGTGGTCCAGTCTGAATATGTGGTGCAATCAATGTGGCAACATCTGTTGTGCAATCTATGTGGCGTAACTGAGCAAAGCGACGGGGAGGCGATGGCGACAACAAAGGCGGCGGACCCGACGAGGCGACGACAGCGACAACATAGCCGCCAGACCGACAACCAAGCCGAAACGACGGGCGGCGACGAGGCGGCGACGGAGGCGGCATAGCCGCCAGACCGACACGCAGGCCCAAATGACGGGCGGCGACGAGCCGGCGACGAGGGGGCGACGGTGGCGACATAGCCGCTGGACCAGCTCGCAGGCCCGATTCCTTAGAAAACAAAAGCAATCACTCAAATGCAACAACTGTTTGGGGAACGTTGAGAAATGCCGATGTTGACCCGATTGCGCACGCTTCCGGGATGCCATTCCAAATGCTGATCCATTTGAATAATCGTGTTTTCGTCTTGGGGTTCCGCGAGTTTCCTCGCTTCCAACACTGGAATTCCAATACGGGGTCTGTTCGGAACCCGCCGCGCAGGCCAGTCTGGACAAAAAAAATCGCCCAGGGCGCGACTAGCGCGATGCCTGCGAACGTCCAGATGAGGATCCAGTAGGATCCGCAAGAATCACACGCGTTTTGAATCATGAGGGGGCTCACATGTCTGGCCTAGGTGCGCATGTGCACGTGTGTGTGTGTGCCAAAATGGATGACCATCGAATTCGTGCACTTATTTAACGATTCAAGGCCGACGCTGGCTGTTCAAATGCTGCGTCCGACTAGACAATGCTGCGCCCGGCGCCTGAAGAGCCTCAAGCCAGGGAGGACCGTGGTCGATACAATCGGGAATAAAAACGCGCACTGTGCCGCGCCAGAGTAGCCTCAACCCTAGGAGGCCGGTGCCCAACCATGCCCAATGAAGCTAAGACGTGGCAGGTGCACCGCAAAGATACTGACTGACAAATCCGCCACCGCGCCTTCGGCACGTTGGTGAGTGTGAGAATGCATGTTGGTTGCTCGGTAGAGGTTCTGTAATTCCCAGCCATCCTGTGGTGCGGGGTCCTCGCTTTGAAGTGAGAGCGCCCCGCGTCATTCTTCCTCCTCCTCGCTGCACCCTCTTCCTCTTCTCCTCCTCCTCCACCTCCTCCCATCATCATCATCATCATCATCATCATCATCATCATAGCATCATCACCATCCTCATCGACATCATAATCATCGTCATCATTATCGTCACCATCATCACCACCATCATCATCATGATAATCGTCACCATCATCACCATCACCATCATCATCGGCTTCATCACCAGCACCACCTTCGCCATCACCATGACCATCAACATCATCAGCATCAGCATCGTCACCGCCACCGTCAACATCAGCAGCATTACTATCATCATCGCCATCATGATCATCACCATCATGGTCGTCATCATCACCTTCATCGCCATCAGCATCGCCGTTATCATCACCATCGCGATCCGCTGAGGCACACTTCTCACACGTTTTGTGGCCCCACGGGGAGCTCCAACTCAGGCCGCCCAAACGCTGTCCGCATATGGGCGCCACCCCCGTGTCCGCAAACTCCTCGCACGGTTCGTGGCCCCATGAGGAGCTCCACCCACGGCCCCAATGGCACAACCCGTATGTGGGCGCCACCCCCGTTTCGGCACCCTCTCACACGGTTCGTGGCCCCATGGGGAACTCCACATAAAAAGGCTCCAATGGCGCAGCCCGCATGTGGGCGCAACACCCCTGTTTTCGCAACCCCCTCACACGGTTTGGCTCCACCCACTACTTCAATGGCGCAACCAATATGTGGGCGCCACCCCCGTTTCGGCACACCCCTCACACGGTTTGTGACTCCATGGGGGGCTCCACCTCAGGCCCCAATGGCGCAGCCCGCTTGTGGGCGCGCCACCCCTGTTGTCGCAAACTCCTTCACACCGTCCGTGGCCTAATCGGGAGCTCCACCCACGGCCCCAATGGCGCAGCCCACATGTGGGCGCCACCTCCGTTTTGGCACACCCCTCACGCGGTTCGTGGCCCCATGGGAAGCTCCACCTTAGGCCCCAGCGGCGGGCGCGCCACCCCTGTTTTCGCAAACAACTCACCCGCTCCGTGGCCCCATAGGGGGCTCCGCCTAAGGCCCCTGTGGCGCTCCGTAGCTATTTTGGATCAAGACTCCATGCTTGGGAGGCTGCAAGCCTCTAGGCGAAAGCGGGATAGCTCTGTTCCCCGAGCTTGCGATTCATCTTCTCGTGGTGCCAGGTCCGCCCCCTGGTCATCACCTGCCCACCTCAGCCCTAGGGTGCGCAGTCCTATTCCGACGTCGTCTGTTCGCTTGGACCCTTTGGCTCTCATGGCGAAATGCTGGCCGTGCGTGCGGTGCGGTGGCTACGCGCCACAACATCTCTCACTCTGTAGCAAGGCTGGCTGCAAGGGCAAGCAGACGGACCGCAATGTGCCAGCAACGAACGACCACCGCAGGCCTTTGGGTAAGCGGGCAGTCGGCGGCGGCAGTCTCGGAGCTCCCTGGACCAAGCAGGGGCCCAAAGGCGGCGGCGGCGGCAAGAGGGCGTGGTGGCAAAGGGCATGAAACTAACGGCGGAGGGCCTGCTGCTCCCGAAACCCTCGCGCTCTCGCCAGAGAAGATTGCAGCCTACGCAGCCATGGCCATGGAGTCGCATGAGATCGCCAAGGGCGGACTTTCACGCAGCAGCCGAGACAAGGTCGAGCTGGCACGTCGAAAGGCAGCCGCTGGAGTCCGGGGCTCGGGGGCGCGGAAGCTCCCTCTGGCAGTCGATCAAGCATCGCTGGCCGTCGCCGACGCCGCAGCCAAGCGTGAGCGCCTCTTGGAGAACTCTCGCAAGGCTCTGGAGGCGCTGGCAGACGCGGATCGGGCCCTCGCCGAGCGCAGGCCGAAGCTCGAGCAGGCCAAGAAGCAGGCGGCGAAGCTCTACTCTTCCACCGCGGCTGAGGACGCGCCCCGCTCCGTCAAGGACAAGGTCGCCTCCATCGACGCGGAGGGCAAGTCGGGTGCTGAGGTCCTGGCTAGCCTCGCCGCGATCCTGGGCGAGATGACTGCAGCCGCGGCCCCGCCGCATCCCGAGGCAGAGCCTGCCCGCGCTGTGCCAGCCGCAGGTGCAGTTCCAGGCGCTCCTGGCGCAGGCGCAGGTGGTGGCGCAGACGAGGCTGATGCTCCCATGGCAGGCGACCCAGGCAGCGACGAATTCGACAAGTTCATGGAGGGCGAGGATCCTGATGGACTTCTCGGCAGCGCTGCGGGCGAGAACGAGACGAAGAGGCTCAATGGGGGCACTGGGCACGCTCAGGGCCGCCAAGCGCTCCAAGACCTCGGGGTAGCGGCCTCGGCGAGGCCATAGGTGGCAATCGTTCCTCACTCATGCCCAGAACGGCGGACAAGCAAGGGCGTTGGTGGGTTGGTCTCAGGTCAACTGCAATGCTTGGTCGAGGTTCGCCAACCTGCTTGGCACAGCCACTGTCAGGTGCTGCGAGTTCGTTGCCGTTCAGGAGACGCACTTGGATTCGCTGCGCCAGCGATCAACGCTGGTTTTGGCTCCCAGGGCACTGGGGGCCTTGTGCAGATGGCGCCCCAATACCTCGGGCTCGGGCCGTCCGACCTGCCCGGCAAACAATATGTGCTGGAGCCTGGTCGCGCCATCATCTCCCACCTCAGTGGCGTCTGTAGAGGCGGCATCGCGTGGGTCAACTTGTATCTGGAAGTCAACGCCGGGCTCAACGAGAGCAATGCCGACGCCCTCTACGCGGTGCTCAAGGCCCTGCAGGCGGCCAACAGGCCCTTCATCGTGTGCGGGGACTTCAACATGTAGCCGTCGGTCCTGGAAGAGTCTGGCTGGCTAGAGGCGGCGCAGGCGGTGGTTGCTGCGCCCACGGGGGCCGCGTGCAGACCTGCAGGCAGGATTATCAAATTCTTTGTGGTCTCGAGGCACTTCCGCGGGGCCAGAGCCAGCGTTGTCCACGGGCTGGACCTCAGCCCGCGCTACCCAATTGCGCTCGAGCTGCTCGGCCCGATCTGGCACCAAAAGGTCACCGTCATGCGTGCGGCCAAGCGGCTGCCTCTGCCCGGGCCGCTCGCCTGCTGCGCGCAAGATCACGGCCCAGCTTGGCGTGCCGTTCGCGACCAGATCGGGTGCATGGACAGATGCTCAGGCCGCGCGGAACGGCCCAGGCTTTCAGCCACCTCAGCCACGGCGCCGTCGCCGCCTAGGCTGCCGCGCGTCACTCGAGCCTCGACCTGGTGCAGGTCGGTTGCTATCTGTCTCCGGGACGCAGCGCAGATCGAACGGCCGCTCGCCAGGTGTTGAGCCCTGCGTGCCTTGGGCAGGCTGGCTAGGAGGCCGCCGTCCGACCTCACAGAGCTGCAGGGCGTGGCCAGCATCATCGCCAGCCGAGCGCAGGATTTCTCCCTTGATCAGCTTGGTGTGCTCAGTGCGGCATGCTTCAGATGGTCTGAGGCAATGGTCAAGACGGATCTGGATCTAGCCTCCAAGAGCTAGAACGACTGGGTGCTGCACTCTGTCGCTACGGGCTCAGGCGGCATCCATGCTGTCACGAAGACGGCTCAGTCCTGGAATGCAAAGCCAGCCAACACAGTTGGTCTGGCGCCGAACTCCATTCAGCAGAGCCTGCAGGCGTTGGTCGACGAGCGGTCCATTTACTGGGACATCGTCGCCACCCAGGCCCTGCGAGTCCAGGCAGCTGGTGGTGGTGCGCATGAGGCTCAACCAACAGTTGGAGGCGAAAAGGGGGACTTTCCCCGACGCAGCCACAGTCCCCCGCTGTTGAGCGAGGCTACGCTTCCTGACGCAGCTGCGAATGCCTCGAGGGAGCTCGAGCCCGAGAGGCATCGTCTGCCTTGGCCTGAGGACCTCGGAGAGCGCTCCGGCAAGCCTTATGTGGCTGAGCTGCGGAACGTGATCTCGTCTTTCAAGCCTCAGTCTGGGTCCAACTTTGACAGCATCCGTCCAAGTGAATTCATTCAACCTGGTGGGTGACCTAGGCATCGAGGCCCTCATTGACTTGCCGATGGCATTCCCAAGGCAGATGGAGGCCTTCGACCCATCGCGCTGTTGGCATCGGTGGTCCGAGTTCACGGCAGGCTTCGCAGACCCATCATGCAGCAGTGGGAGAAGGCCAGTGACAGGCCCTACTGGTGGGCGTGCTCTGGGCGCTCATGTGACAGAGCGGTGTGGCAGCAACGGATGAGATCACAGTGGATTGCGATGATGGCCGAACTTCGCCCCGATCAAGACTGGGACTTCTGCCAGCATCGAACTGGACCTTTGGAAGGCAACCGAGCAGGTCTCGCATCGGTGCCTCGTGCAGGCAGCCATCAAGTGCGGTTTTCCGTTCTGGCTGGCCAAGCTGCAGATCTATCTGCACGGTGCGCCGAGGGTGCTTCACCTCGACGGGTGCTGCTCGCAGGAGATGCAGGTCTCCCGGACGGTGCTCGCTGGAGACGGATTCGCCACGGGCTTCATGAAGCTCATGTTGCTGCAGCCGCTCTTCGCGATGGTCGCGCGGTTCGGGGTCGTCGCGCCAGCCGTCGTGGTCGACGGCCTGGTGCTCCAGCGCTGGGGCGGCACCAAGCGGGCGCAGGGCGATCGGTGCATTGGCGCAGCAGCTGAAGAACGTTAAACTCAAGATCGTGGTCATCGATCATGCAGGGGGGCGACGTGCAGATCGGGCCCTTCGGCAGCAACGCCTCGCCAACGTCGCGCTTCGCCCCGGCAAGGTGCGGAGCTTTTTGGGCCTGAGGCGCGGGCGCGCTGCCGCGGCCGAGGTTGCGTTCACAGACCTCCATCCTTCGGCGATGTGCGGCGTCAACTGCACTGGCCTCGACCTCAGCGGGTTGTCCGGGATGCGCCCCGTCACGGTCAGAGCCGTGGGGCCACGGCCAGCAGGCGAGAATACCACCGCAATGCTGATGTTCTCGGGGGCCACGACATTGGACCCCATCTTCGCTGCCGCGCTGGGGCCTGTCATGATGCGGGCCAAGGCTGCATGGGGGAAGTGGATCCCGACGCCCATTTTGCAGTCTACTTTCGAATGGGGCGCGAAGGTCGCCAAGCGCTGGGGCGACGCGCGTGGCCCGCTCGGAGCAGCAGCGATGTCTTTGCAGAGGATCGGTTTCGCACTCAGCTCTTTCACTGATAACGCGGGCGAGAAGCTCAACTTGGCGGCGCGCTCTCCCTGGGCGGTCAAGCAGATTGTCACGAGAGGCGTCGGGCCGTGGCAGTTGTCTCAGCTGGCCAAGAGCACGCGCTACGACATCTACGGTGCTGGCGGAGTCTTCCTGCCGCGGGTCAGGCGGTGGGTCGCGTCGGGCCGAGGCTCCGCCAAGGTCGCCATGGCTTGGAAGACGTTGGCGCCCAGTGAAGCTGGGTGCGCCAGATCATGCCTGGTCGACGGTCAGCGGCTCAACGAGCTGCTCTGCGCGGCAGGCCTCAGCGCTTACTAGGTCTGCTCGCTGCGTCCCAGCAAGATGGGGGCACTTTGGCGCAGGCACGTGGGGCGTCAAACCGCTTGGCCGCCTTTGCCCCTTCCAGAGGAGCTGGGGCGCTTCAAGGGCATGAGCGGCCCCATCACGACCAGGGCTCTGCTCGGGAGGTCGTGGCTGCCAGAACCGCTCACGAAGTGGAGTGGGGGCCGCCAGGTGGCGACTTCCTGGCGCGCGCAGTGGATCAAGGGCTACGGCGAGGGCCTGCCGTTTGCAGAGCCCGACCTGTTCGCAGATGGAGCCTACACCGGCGGTGGCACCGATATTGCCGGTGCAGGATGTGCCGTTATTGCTTTGCCTAGCGGCGGCGATCACATCGACCCTGGGCCAAGGTCTGCTACGCGTGCGTTAGCCTCCCCTTTGGCTGGTGCCTTGCAGTCCATCGGCGGCGGCGAGCTGCTGGCGCTTCTCCTGCTTCTCAAGGGCACCATTCCACAAGTGACAGCTAATATTGTCGCTGACTTTGCGGCGAGTGATATCAACATTCGTGGGCCCGAGGCCACTGCAAGCAGCAAGGCCGCCCGGGCGGAGCTGTGGGTTCGCGTCTGGCATGCAGTTCAGGACTTCGGGGGGCTCGGCGTAGACGGCCTCGCAGTTGTCAAAATCAAAACGCGCGCTTCTGCTCAGCGCGTGCCAGAGGGCCCGGCCACGGCTAGAGCCCGCAGGGGCAACATCGAAACTGGTCGGTGTGCCAAGTTTATGGCTGCTCAAGTCGGCGCTCCCGACGCCGTCAGGCAGATCATCCAAGCGAGGCAGACCATGCTCGACTCCGCGTTCTTCTGGGTCTCGATTGCTGGCGGCATGGCTGCCGATGGCAGAGCCGACATCTCGGACGAGAAGGTCACGAGGTCATCGAGGTCCCGAATGGTGGCATTCACTGCTTGCGCTAACGCACTTCTGGGCCAAACCGTGCGTGCCCAAGCCGTATGCCCCGTCGCACTCTGGACGTGCTTGGAAGAAGCGTCCTTCTCGTGCAGCCTTGGCGAAGGCGGCTACGGCGGCGGCGGCCTTCGCCGCGTTGGCGCAAACCGAGCAGGAGGCGACAGCTGCTGAGGCTACGGGCGAGGGCAGCACCGAGTTGCCGAAAACCAAAGTTCTCAAGACAGCCCATCAGAAGATCGACTACCTGTTGTCGGCAGCTCCTGGAGCGAGCTCGAGCGGGTTTGTGCGCTTGGCATCGGCTGAAAAAAAATGCTGCCAGTGCTGGTGAGGCTCCTGTGGGCCCTGCAGCAGAAGCCCCACTCGGACCTTGCACGCGCGCCCCCGTGGGCCCCGCTGCAGAAGCCCCGTGTGGCATGGGTTCTGCTGGTGGCGCGAGTTTTGAGAATGGGCCTGCCTCGCTTCCCCCCTCGGAGCTCCTCAGGCATCCTCCAAGCCCCGCTGCAGAAGCCTTGGGGGGAGCCCACGGCGGCGAGAGTGCGCCCGCCGATTTGTCCAGTGTTCGCGAGGCGGCCAGCAGCCTGGTTGCCTCGCAAGGTTGTGTTGTTTCGTCTCTCCGCTCGAGCTCGCCCGATCGGTCTCGGTCGGTGGCCCTCGAGTGCCCCTCTGGCCCCCTCGCTGCGTCGTCGTCTGCTGGTGGTGGCACAGGGGTTCCAGGAGCGGCGAGCGGCGAGCATGTTCTCACAACCATCTCTGGAGATCGCATTTGCACACACTGTCTTTGCCATGCGAGAGTTATCGGAGGCAAGCACAGAACCTTGTCCGCATAATGCAAGCTACCAGAGAGGGCTCGTGGTTTGCAACATCGCCCCGGGAAGGTCGAAAGGATCAATATCGGGCTGTTGCTAAGGAGGTGCAGCCGAAAGCGCAGGCTCGGTAATGATTGGGGGCTTAGCTGGCGGCGGCGAGTCGGCCCTTTTGGCTTGCTCGTCCCTTTGCCGCTCGGCTCCCCTAGGCTTACGCCTGCCGCCAGCCGCGGCCGCCTCTGTGCGGCTGCTAGAACCGGAGCTCGTGCTGCGCGAGCCTGGTCACAGTCAAAAAAAAAAAACCAGTGGCGCAGCCCGCATGTGTGCACCACCTCCGTTTCGGCACACCGCTCACACGGTTCGTTGCCCCATAAAGGGGCTCCACCTAAACCCCCAATGACACCGCCCACATGGCGGGTCCGTGCCATTTCGGGACGCCCTTCGCATGCTCCGTGGCCCCTAAATGGGATCCACCGAAGGCGATACCCATAACGACAGTACTCACAACTGCATCTGGTTGGGTCCTTTGCCAAGATACCTTTCTAAAGAGGAACCCCTTCTTTTCGGACGCACGAAATAGATACGGAACAACTGGGCATGATGCCCAGCAGCAACTGTTGTCCAGAACCTACAGCGACCGCTGTCCGGCGGGCGGCCATCTGTCTCAAATTGACAACGTCCACGGCGACGTCGACAACGAACCCTGTCCAAAATAGACAGGAACCGCTGTCGGTCTTCGTAGTCATGGTCTTCGTATGCATTTCGGGCTTCCCGATCCTCGCCCAAACGAGCATCGAACATTGCTCCTCTAGTTTTGCCTCCCGACACAATTGTCGGCCGACGATGGCCCCAGACCGCCCCGAGAGGGCTGCAACACGTCTCAAGAAAACAGGCTCAAGATGGACAAACGACGTCCCCAAACATTCCCCAAACACCACAAGACCCTCCACGAAACAGGCACGGGGCACCTCATGCTCTGGGGAGCCCAACCATGTCAAACCACATGGCCACCATGTTCTTGTTTGGCACGTGCTGCTTTTCGGCTCAAGGTAGCCCCCCCCCAAAAAAAAACTCTAATGGATCCCAAGGCGGCCCCAGAAGACTGCAAACAAAATGACAACATGCACCAACACGGCCTGACAATCCTAAAACGGCCAAAGACAGTCCGAAGGGGGCTACAAGACTGCCCCCCAAAGCTTTACCGAGCCGCTTCGGGAACGCTCGGTAGAACGTCACGCCTAAAACGACTCCAGGGCGCCCCCCAAAGCGACCACACCATGCTCCCCACCAGGCCACTGAAAGGGCCCTAACGGGTTTTCCAAACGGCTGTAAAGATGCCCCTGAACATGCACCGCTGCGGCCACGCCCCGCTGCAACATCGTAGCGTTGCGTTCCGCGCGGCTCCAAAATTACCATCTAGGAATTCTACCAACCCCGTTTCGGGACAGCTCGGTAGAACCATTCTGAAGTTGCTCCGATGCAGCACTGGCACGGTGGCGGGGTTTGCCGCATGCAGCTGGAGGATATCTAACACACTCCAAAACCAAGCTCGTTCCCGATCTGGTCTGTTCCTGGACAGAACCTGTGCGGAAGACCATACTCAGCATGCATGCTTGGCCATGGCAGCGTGCACGCAGCCCCTCAGCTCCTGCAGGTCCTGCCTCAGCTGCTCCAGGCTCCGCTGCTGGACCTGACTGCCCTGGGCCCGCTGCGCAGGAGCGTCGAGTGCGAGGGCACCGATGATCCCTTCCGACGAACGGCGGCACGAACATCTGGGCACCGACGAACTGAGGACCAGCGTCGGACTGTCGCACCAGACGTCCGCAAAGCCTTCGCGCCTCTTGTCCCCATGCTTGAGCCCTGCTGGGGGACACATGTGTGTGCCGTGCTGCTGGCTCGGGCACTACGGTGTGTCTGGACAGTTTGAAACAAAATGGCTACTGTGTGTGATCAATGGTACCTCCAAAGATGATGTTCGGCCCATAGCAATCCAAGGCTTTCTGGTTTATGCGTGAGCAAGCGCCCTCCGATTCGCAGCATCCAGCCATGCATGCGAACCACAGTACTAACACGGCGACCTATAACCCAGACGCAAACTACATGATTGAATGCAACACCATGTGGATCAACATATTGTGAATGTAGTTGTCCGTACGGCTTGGGTCAAGCCTGCGCCACTCGTCCAACACAGTTAGCCTATCACGAACTTGGGCTAACGACCTCCACTGCGTGTCGAAGAATCACAGAGTCATGCTCACCGCCCCCCCATTGCCGACTTACAAGCACACATATACATACGCGCGCATACACGCGCATACACATGTACAACATGTACATTGGTGTGCACATACATAGTCATGCACATGCACACTCCCACAAGCAACTAGTTGCAGGTGCACGCTGTAGTGTATATACATGTATATGTATACACATGAATATGTCCACTTATAGATATATGTATGTATACATATCTCTATGCGTGTATACATGCAAACGGTATGTCTACACATATACACACATCCACGTATACACACACACTGCCCTATGTGTTTACAATCTGGGGGGGGGCGGAAACCGCGCCCCCCGCTCCAAAACGAACCCTCTGGATTCCTGGCCCCGGGACCCTCTGGACGCCCTTGCAGAGGCCCCCCCGGGCCTTCTGGACGTCACTGCTGGGCCTAGCCAGCGGGCCCAAAGTGGCCAGGAGTGTGGCCAAACGGTCCCGCGAGAGCCCCAAGTGGCCCCAGACACCGACCAGATGCCCGAAAACGACCCAAACAGCACCCGGAAGAGGCCTTCCAAACGCAAAGACTATAGATTTTCGATGTTGATGTTTCGACACTCGGTTCTTCGGCGTTTCGGGCGTCCGAAACCGCCCAAGGGGCCTCGAACATCGTCAGCAAACGGTCCCCCCTAAAATGGCAGACAAACCAATAGAGCCCCAAGACGTCCCAATACCGCCCCAAATTGGCCCGAAGAGAGCACCATGACGACCCAAGTTGGCACCAAGACGCCCCCCGAAGCATTCCAAAACCTGAGCTGGTCGTTGGGGGAGTCCGTGGTTGGCAGCAAGGTGGCCCGAGAAAACCCCCAGATGGCCCCCAAGGGCGCCCAGGAGGCCTCCAGACACCCCCAAGAAACTCCAAACAAGGTTTCGCGAGGCCCTCAAGAAGCTTTCCAAGGATTGACCTCCGGACAAATTATCCGGGCGAAGGACCCCACCATATGCAGTTATGAGTGCTGTCGTTACAGTTGTCGCCTTCGGGGGATCTCCTAATGGGGCCATGGAGAATGCGAAGGGTGTGCCGATATGGGGCGGGGCCGCCATGTGGGCGCTCACACTGGGACGATAGGTGGAGACCACAATGGGGCCGCGAAGCGTATGAGGGGTGCGCCGCGAAGGGGCGTGGCCGTTACTGGGGCCTTCGGTGGAGCTCCCTATTGGGCCCACGAAGCGCTGTACTGAGTGGGGGAGACCCATGCGAATACCATCACTGGGGCCTTCAGTTGAGCTTCCTATGGGCCACGAAGCGCTGTACTGGGTGGGGGTGACGGATGCGAGACCGCCACTGAGGCCTTCTGTGGGGCTCCCTCTGGGGCCACGAAGCACTGTACTGGTTGGGGGAAGCGCATGCGAACACCGCGACTGATTTCCATGGGGCCACGAAGCGCTGTACTGGGTGCGGGAATCGCATGCGAGCACCGCCACTGAGGCCTTCGGTGGAGCTCCCCATGGGGCCACGAAGCGTTGTACTGGGTGGGGGAACTGCATGCGAACACCACCACTGGGGGACTCTCTGAGCCGTCCAGGGGCTCTCTCGGAGCCATCTTCGGAGGCTCTTTTACGCCGTTGGCGCTGTCTTGGGACTCTTTGGGCTGCTCGTCAGGCTCTTGGAGCCCGTGGGGGCGCGATGTGAGAGATGCCGAACATCGCCACTGAGGCCTTCGGTGGAGCTTCTCATGGGGCCGCGAAGCGCTGTACTGGGTGCGGGAATCATATGTGAGCACCGCCACTGAGGCCTTCGGTGGAGCTCCCCATGGGGCCACGAAGCGTTGTACTGGGTGTGGGAACCGCATGCGAACACCACCACTGGGGGACTCTCTGAGCCGTCCAGGGGCCCTCTCGGAGCCATCCTCGGAAGCTCGTTGGCGTCGTTGGGGCTGTCTTGGGACTCTTTGGGCTGCTCGTCGGGCTCTGGGAGCCCGTGGGGGCGCCTTCTAAAGGTGAGAGATGCTCTTTGGAAACGAACAAGGGAGATCTTCCAAACAACAAGTTCCCCGTTGGTTTTTCAACATTTTTTGGCTGCGGGGAGCGCTGCGGAGCTGCTCGGGCGCCTCTTGAGGGCATCTGTCAGGCCCGCTCAGGCGCCATAATCGGGCCTCTGGGCGTTCTTGGAGGCGTCTTGGGCTCTCCCAGGGCGCTCGAGGCCCAAGGCACGCCCGCGGGAGCCATTCTGGGGACTGTCTGGGCCGTCCGGGGCCTCTCTGGGGGCCGTCGTCAGAGGCTGTTGGGCGCTGTTGGGGCCGTCGTGGGGCTCCCTGGGGCTTCTCACGGGGCTCTCCGAGGCCAGGTGGGCGCCTTCGAGAGCCTTCCAAAAACTGCGTTTTCCAATGGTTTCTCACGGTTTTTGGCCTCCTGAGGATCTCTTGGAAGCCGCCTGGGGGCCTCGCGAGGGCCTCGCGAGAGCCGTCTCAGCAGCGTCTGGGGCGCCTCTTCGGGGGCCTGTGTCACTATCTTGCAGCCACCTGAACCGTCTGGCGGCGTGGAGGGCGGTCTAGAGCCCATACATGATCGCGTCGTCAAAAAATCAGGACGGGAGGTTTTTGGCAATTTTCGGCCTCGGGGGGCCCTTACTCAGGATGAAAAGCCAGTCCCAGGGAACGGGTCGGGACTTCCAGGAACCCCGTCCTGAAAAAATCAGGACGTCGCATGTCTGGGGACGCTGTCTTGGCGAGGGCCAGGGGGCCCCTGGAGGCCCTGGTCCGGTCCTGGGGGGGAAGGGCAGCTGCCCTGGGGCCCCGGGCCGCGTCCCCCCTGGGAGATTCACCGGCCTCGGGCCCCCAGCCCTTTCGACCCGCTCCCGAGGGCCAGTGTTTCATCCCCGAGTCGTTCTGTGACGGCCCCGGGGCCCGAAGAACGCAGACACTTTTTCCGTCGGCGGCGAGACCGAGGCAGTCCGCTCCAGCGTGTGGACATTCGGGGCAACCGAAAGGCTAGGTGTCCCGCGTGCACGAATGGGGGGGGGAAGACGAGGGCGGTCGCACGGGGGGAAGGCAGGCAAGCAAGCAAGCAGGCGCGCCGTGTCCGGCCAAAGAGGCCGACCCGCACGGGGCAAGGCGCGAGGGCCGCAACCCTCACATGTCGTTCCTCTGCACGAGATCAGATTCAAATGCTTCCCGGTCTCTTTCGAAAGGTACCATGCTCCGTGGAAAGGTCTTGGTTCGAAGAAACTTTGAATATCGTCTGACCACCGCTGCCCAGGTCTTCCTTGAGCACGGGGAAGAGGGGGGGAGGGGAAAACGATTCTAGACAAGACCCAAAAGCACATCCCAGGCAGGACATCTCCGAGTCCGCGGCGTGCCGGGCGCCGACCCTGGCGCCTCGGCCCGCCAGCGCCCAGAGAGGTGCGCGGGGCGCCCCCGCCAGTCCTGGCGCCGAGGACCGCCAGCGGCTCGTCGCTGCCCGCGGCGGAGAGCCTCAGCAGGACCTCCCCGCGAGGCGGGGGAAGCGGGGACAGGAGGAGGAGGAGGAGCAGGAGGAGGAGGAGGAGGAAGCGATGGAGGAGGAGGAGGAGGAGGAGGAGGAGGAGGAGGAGGAGGAGGAGGAGGAAGCGATGGAGGAGGAGGAGGAGGAGGAGGAGGAGGAGGAGGAGGAGGAGGAAAAGGAGGAGGAGGGAGGGGAGGAAAAACGTGGCGAGGGGGGCCCAGACATTTTTCCCGTCGGCGGCGAGGCAGAGGCAACCCGCTCCACCGTGTGGCTGTTCGGGGCAACCGAAGGGCGATAAGTGTCCAGCGTGCAAGCGGGAAGGAACAAGACGAGGGCGGCCGCGCGGGGGGAAAAGGAGGGGGGAGCGCTCGGACGCTGAAGAGTTCCGCGAAGAGCGGGCCGGAGCGGCCAGGAGGCGGCCCAGACATGCAGAGGCTCGAACAAGCCGAGCCTGAGGCCTTTCGGCGCCTTCGGCTTCTGGAGGCCGACCCCGGGCCCAGCAGGGAGCGTCGACAAAACAGCTCGCGGTGAAACGTCTGTGCTGTGGGAGGTCCACTGCCGACCCCAGAACTCCGCGCCGACCTCGAAACGTTTGTACTGATGCATTTTCTCTACAGGCTGGGGCACACACCAGTACGGTGCCCAGCCCACAGAACCGTGGCCCGCAGCAAACGTGCCAGGGGCGGAAGCGAGCAGTGGCAGGGCCGTTTCGTGGATGCACGGTGCCGCTGGGCAAACGCGAGAGATGGGCGTTGCACATCTTCGTCGGCTTAATCGGCAAGGCGTTGAGCCACCTTGACGTCCTTGTTGGGACCTGCTGAGAAAGGCGCTCTCTGACCTTCGGGCCTACTCAAGATATGGTGGTCGGGGTGATTCTCCCTCCCTCGATATTTGATTCCCTCGATTTTAAATCCCTGCCGTGGGCCGATCCGCTCTGTGTTCTCTGGTTACCCCCGCATGTCCACAAGTCAATGCTTGTTGTTGTTGCTCCTGTTGCTGTTGTTCTTGTTGATGTTGTTGCGACTGCTGTTGTTGTTGTTGCTGCGGTTCTCGTCGTCATCGTTGTTATGTTTAGCGTTGTTGCTGTGGTTGTTGCTGTTGTTGTTGTTGTTGTTGTTGCTGTTGAACTTTCACTTCTGAAGAATAACAATTGTTGCTCCCCCCCGTCCGGTGCACATGGTTTTTTCGACTGAGGTGCCCTTCCCGGGGCTCGCACCCTGTTTTCTATCAGGGAA